TGGAGGTGTAGAGAAGAAGTGAAAATAAAGAGAAGAGGCGCAGAGAATGAAGCTAGGATCATTGGAATTGCAAGGATCAGCTGTTATTATGGACTCTGGTCCTGTCCGAAATCTTATTAAGGGCACCAAACATTGGATACGAGACACTTGTCCACCTTAATTGAACCAGCAACCAAACAATGCCTTATTGTATAGATGGCATATCATGGAGCCTTCTTTCACTATTTTGTTCTCTTCCACTATTTTCAATATTTGTCTCTTATAGAAAAAAGAAGAAAGAAAAGAAAGATACTCTTCCTATGAAAAGAAGGCTAGGATTCTAAGACTAAAATCATAATAGCTCCCAGGTTTGGAACTTCTGAAAATGAGGCACATGATTCATCATTCTGTACTATCACTTGAACTTCTAAGTCACTTAGACGTCACATAATAAAACAAAAACAATTGAACCAATAATGATCTAGGTCTACACAGGTCTCTTCGTATACCCATTTTGCAACAACAATGCAAAAAAGAAAATTTCAGTGTCATTAAATTACTTTGATACTCCATCACAGGTCAACAGACGTAAGAAGAATCAGTTTTGGTTGCAACCTGTAATGAAACTTCTTGTGTTTTGGTCTAATTCTGTTGTTTAAGAGTTTAAAAAGCCAAAAATCAATAAAGAGATGGCTACTTTTTTTTTCCCCTCTTATTAATTTCCAGGTAAAAGAGTCAAACAAAAATTGCTGAAGAATAGTGGAATGTTGATGCAGGTACCTGCTGAATAACTTATCATGAACTTCAAAAAATGGTAGAGGACGGTTGGTAATCTTTATCCTTCATATGCTTAATTAGCCTTCGGATCTCATGACGTATATTTTCAATTTGTGGATGCATCTCATCACCAACAACAAATACATGAACCTGACTCTTCAACTCAATCCAGCTACACCCAGGCTCTTTGCTCACCCCTCTAAATTTCATCAGACTCCTTACCCGCTCAACATCTTTACTCCTGCCCAAGGCAGTATATATGCTTGACAACAACACATAAGCTGATGATTCTTGTGAGCCTAACTCCATTAACTTCTCTCCAACATAGGCTCCCAATTCGTAATTATGATAGTTCCGACAAGCACTTAATAGAATACGCCATAAACACATACCATGATCAACAGTGGCTGATTCTATAAACTCTTTGGCTTCATCTAACTTCCCAGCACGGCTCAATACATCAACCATGCAAGCATAATGGTCCACCCTTGGGCCTATGCCAAATTCATTAGACATCAGGTTGAAATAAATCCACCCCCTCTCGACTAATCCCATATGGCTGCAAGCAGAGAGAACATTCACAAATGTGATGTAGTCCGGCTTTGCGCCCTCCAATCGCATCTCCTCAAAGAGCTCTAGAGCCTCTGTACCCCTCCCATTTTGTGAAAGCCCAGATATCATTGCATTCCAAGATACTGTATCCCGCATTGGCATCCTCCTAAACACCAGATTCCCATCTTCCAAATTCCCACACTTTGCATACATGGTTGAAAGAGCACTTCCAATTGGAACTTCAAGACTGAATCCATACTTGATGGTACGTGCGTGGATTTGCCTTCCTTGTTCAAAAGCACTTAGACTAGAACATGCCTTTAGGACACTAGCCATAGTTAGTTCATTGGGCATCATTCCTTCGCTCTGCATTATGCAATACAAAGTCAAAGCAGCTTCATTCTCTCCATTTTGCACATACCCTCCAATCATAGAAGTCCAAAGAACAATATCAGGTTCTCTTAAATAATCAAACCCCTTACGAGCATCACTAACATTACCACATTTGGCATACATGTCAACCAAAGCTGTCATTATATATATTTGGAATTCGAAGCCCAACTTTAATGAATAGCTATGCACTTGCTTTCCTTCTTCAAGAGCACCGATGTCGCTACAAGCATTGATGACTCCAACAAATGTAAACTCACTTGGCATAACCCCAGAAAAATGCATATGTGAAAACAAGTCCAAAGCCTTTTGAGAATCCCCACTTTGTGCAAAACCAGTTATCATGGCAGACCATGTGATAGAATTCTTATCACCAGACATTTTGAAAGTTCTAAGTGCATCATCTAAGCTCCCACATTTTGCATACATGGATACAAGCGCATTGTCAACAGAAACGAAAGATATCAAACCATTTTTCACTGCAAGACAATGAATTTGCTTACCAGTACCAACAAACTCAGGAAGAGCTAAGGCACTAAGAACACCGGTCAAAACAAATTCATTCACCTCTTCCTTCACCT